ATAAATCGTAAGATTTCTGAGTTTGAAGCTATGTTATTTGTGTTATGTGTTGTACGGATTCGGTTTAGAAACCGATGATCGTTATGAAGCATTGAAATGTGAAGTACAATTAATGAAAAAACGATTATTAAGATTAGAAAAAGTGTATGCCACATTAAAAAAAAATAAACAATTAGAAAAAAAAGTAAACTGCGCCATCGTTTCGAAGAAAATGTTTTTACGCTTCTGTTTTGTTTTAGGTATTATCTGTTGTATCTGATCCATCACCGTTAGATTTTACGCAAAAGATCAAAGTAAGTTGTTCTTAACCTGTATCGTCTCACATATTACTGTAGTGTTGACTCCTTGCCAGGATATATTTAATATCAACGCAACATCTATTCGTTCGCCTGCGAATAGACCAACGATGGTAATGCGAGAAATATACACAAAGTCTGGACATGAACCCAATCAATGGAGAAAATACATCGAACCAAATCAAAGTGTATTACAAGGTAAGCATAAAAGATCAATAAAACTAAAGCGGATTTCTCCAGGTACAGCGAAAAGAAAAAAACAAACTACATGTCTTAGATTGTTGTGAACAGCATCAAAGTTATATAAGAGAAGAAAACGTACGCTGATGCTTAATATCAATTATTTTATCATTTTTCTTATAGATTTTATACAACAAAAGTGTATGGTTTCAGACGAAGACATGCCATTGATATGGTTTCAAATAATAAAATCAATGGAACAATATCCATATGATGTAAAAATAAAAAACACAAAGAAAAATCAACAGCAATAACTACAGCCTCGTCGATATCAATATCGAAAAATATTGATACAACGGAAGATGACAAGGAAGAGGAACGATGGCAACGAGGAACGATGGCACAATGGAATAATTAGAGAAAAAACACTCATTGTATTGAAGTTGCATGAACTCAACAATTAGTATTATGTTGAAAATAATGTGAGAAATTTCGATTTTATTTCTTCAGCTACTTACGAAAGAAGAAACTACGATATATATATACATAAAGTTATCTTCTTTTGGAAACGGTTGTATGCGGTCTCCAAAACGAAAAGAGAAGAATAGAAGATAAATTTATGTATATGTTGCAGGAGAAATTAAAATTCATTGGAATTTAAAACTCTCCTAGTAGAAATTAAAATCAATATATTCACAAACAGGAAAACTCAATTATCCAGCTTTAGAGCTCGAATTTTAGTTTTCTGAAAAGCGCACGAAGTTTATGGACGTCAGGTGAAGATCATGACCAGTGACTGCGAGTCCCAAAACCGCAACTTGTGAGCAGAATTTGACCCGTAAACGTTTCGTGACCTGTATTCAAACTCATGGCTATATTTTGATCGGATATGTTGATATAACTTTCGGACT